ATCACGAAAATAGTGCATGATCATGATATAGGGATACCGAATGATGATATCAACAATTTATAGGGTTTTATGGCTTTTGCGCATGGCCTTTTGTTAACCAGCTTATAATTTACGCCTTCTTTCTATTTGGCAAACAGATCGTGAGATATGCAGCACTCAGCTCTAGGATTTATTTCAAAGAGGTAAAACGAAAAATTGTTTAAGCGCAACTTAAGGGCTCCGTTTAACAAGTAATAAAAATCATTAACAAATTTATGATGCTAATCAAAAGTTCCTGAGGTCTAAGATTACGTGAGAATTTTTTAATCTCCGTTTTATACCGTCAAGTCATGTAGCATGTTGTTTTGATCTACTCACAACGTATACTTTTTAAAATTAAAAACTTAAAGCCACGTTAGATCCCTAACTGCAATGTATGCATGTTAAATCACAATCTCTTCTAAGCGTTCGTGTTCGAATAACGTCATGGGTATATATATTCCATACCCGTTTTTCGCTATCATGTGAGCTCTTGACCTGATTAAAACCTTCATAATAAAGCCACCTAAGATTCCTTACCGCAATATCCGCAGGTCAAAGCACAATCTATTTCCATGAATTTCTGTTTACAATCAAAACCAGCTTTCACACGGTATTGGCAGGTTTCCGTCCCAGCCTTGTCGTAACAACGATCTGAAACGATTTCAAGGGGAGCCTGGTGATTTATTGCACGTACAATGTGATGAAGAATTGTCTGCGCACTATTTTGATAATTTTCGAAATGCACCCATTAAAGAATAGCGCACTTTTTGTATCATTTATCACCTACCAAAAGGTTTTCAGTGATAGATCGATATCTCACCAGGAAACTGCAAACAAATCTGGACAATGATAGTTGCTTATCCTGCTTTGAAACTTTGAGTTGATCTCGTAAATGAATAGGTGAACGTTTTGGTTTATAAAATCAAGGAAACTCAGTGTTGTATAGCATAAGCGTGGAATGAACAAGTCGTAGAATCTACGGCATAAAGAAGATTAAGCGTGTCAATAACTTACTTTCACAGTTTTCTCCATAATAGCCAGGTTCGCATGCCTTGTCTAGAAAAGGGATTGAAAGAAACAATGATATATTATTCAGTCGAGGTGTTCTCACAAGCAAAGTGGCCCACACCGGCGGAGCTCGCCTGTTTTAATGGCTGTCATAAGGCTCCTTGGGGTATTGATACTTCTACCGGATGGGAGGTTAACTCCGCAGCATTTTGTCGCCTTTCCCAGACAGTCAATTCTTAACACGAAGTTTCAGATTTATAGGACTGTTCTACTTCACGTTACCGATTCCTGTGGCCTACCTGAACAGTCCATGCCCCTCCAGCCAGAAGCGCAAGAACAAACGCAGTCCTGTTCGTTTAATGTACCTCCGTTTTGACATTTTAAAGGACACTCTAAAAAGAAGGCGATATAAAGATCCGGGAAATTATGGGTGCGCCTTACGAGAAAATTAAATTTATTACTCATGCGCCTCTTAGAGGCCTGATTTAAAATTCGGAATCGTTCTTGTTCAGTCAGATTAATCACAAATCGTTGTCGAGATTCTAAAGCACATGCATGGGTGCATGTTTCTCACGTGTGGGTTTCAAGAGTTTGTTTAAATGAAAATAAAAACGCTATCTGAAGGGGTATAACACTTTTCCTCGTGTTTTGCAGATGCCTTTTACGTGCTTTTCACGTGAAACATTACTTGCATATAAAATTTTGTTGTGAAATAAGAACGACAACCTTGTTAAGATTGTGGCTAGATTTTACCAGTGTGAGCGCCTTTCTGTACATAGATTTGCGCTTTAGGTTCTCAATATCGAGTTGATAATATAAAAAATATTGAAAATGATTTCAGCATCCTGATTAATGTTTACAATAGTTTTGAAAATTTGGCGATAATCCACGGCATCCAGTAAAAGATGTTTTCAAGTCAGTGGACCAGAGGGTTACTGAAAATAATGAGTGTATGCAACAAGTTTTATTTCGACTCTCTTTACTACATCGTGCTGAATACACACATCACTTCTGAGTCGCCTTTTTCTTTATAACGTAACGATTTGTTCACTTTTATAACGTCGTTTTTAACAAAAATCTTCAGACCTGAGACAAGCAAGAATTACGCCTTTAGTTCTTCCTGTTCATTACACTAAGCAGCGAGTTTAAGAACAAGACACACTTACACATTAACATTTGGTTTCAATTCATACTCACTGCACATATTGCATAGTTTAGGACACTTCTTCTCCATTAATTCTGGGTGTGAAGAACACATCGCTGCCGTCAAAGAAGTACCTCCGCAATCTTTGTCGAAGTCAGTGCAATTTCCTAAAATTTATTTTAAAATTTTAATTCCATTGTAAAAAGATTCAGAAACACTTATAAGTCTGGAGTAAGATGAGCGTCCTGGACTCACTAGTAAATTGTTAGTGTGGGTTTAGAATCACATCGTAGCCTTGAACACTCTGTTACTACAAGTAAGGTTACAGCTGCTGTGAGTTGTTAGTTTGACTTTTACTATATCGTAACACTGAACACCCTGTTATCAAGGTTACAGCCGTGGCTTGTTAAAAAATGGTTTGTTTATTTCAATTGGTTTCGTTTCACTTACGACACAGATTTTTGTAGCACCATCCTTTACCAGATGCGCATTTGGTGCAGGGGGTCCCAGCCTTGTATGGGTATTGACCTCCAATGTTACCTCTAAAGTTCAAGTAAAAAGCAAAAGTGTACATTAGCTTGAGACCAACGTTGTAAAGCTGGACCAGGTCCACAGTCGTACGGAAAAAGAAAAGAGAAATTTTCTATCGCTAACACACGTAAGAATATAAAGTAACGACTTGTGCTTACGTTGTATAGTCACAGGCCACCATTGTTCCCTCGACACCGTCGTTAAAGCTCGAACAGAAGTTAACTGCGCATCCAAGATGCTTCGCTTGCGCCCATGCCAGCTGAAAGGAAACTTAAATCACGTTTTTTGTATTCATACCTGTAGAGAAATATCCTTCTTAGTACAAGATGATAGCATCTTAGTAAGACACAGGGACAAGCAAATGTAGTGCATTCAACTGATTACTTGCCGCTGGCTGTTTGCGCCCTCGATCGTCCGTTATTTACTTTCGTTTGTAGGGCCGTAAAGGCGCTTCTCCTTCAGTTCATTAAGTTGTCCTTTGATTGGTGTTTATTTCTGTCCCTTTTTGCTTTTGCTTGATTTCTTCTTTACTGTTAGATTTTATCGCTGGTTTTTAAAATTCCTAGCTTACTCATTTTCAATTTCTAACTTTCTTCCTTGTGTGCGTCCTAAAGTTGGTTTAATCATTTCCGTCACGGCTAAAACACAAAGTTTTTAAATCAGTGATCGCTGTCGACTGGAACCTTCAGTTTTCTTTACAACTTTTAAATGCCCTGTGAACAAGCTGCACATGCGTAGCAGCTCCAAAATACCTGTGTGTAATGTCCACAAGGTGTCTTTCTACAAGAAGCTCCCATCGGGCTTGTGTACTTGCCAAATATCCAGTATTTATGTTCATTGTACCATCTCACCACGCGGTCCACTGGGTTTGAAAGTTCTCCATACTCTCTAGCAAGATTTTGACCTGGGAACAAAATCACAACAATTCAAAAGGGAGGCAGCAAGTGATTTAATCCTTATAGCAGCTTTTTTGGTATTGATCCACTAAACCCACGCTTAATTACGGCTAATGTTCATCAGTCTTCATGAACACGGAATATACATAATAAAATCTCATGGTTATTATGATGAGAAACAATCCCGCCATTTTCTCTTCGTATTGACCTTCCATCGATAATTCTGTTCGGATAGATTTAAACCTCCTCCTGTTTTTGGGTTTACGTCGCAAACATACTTCACACTTGAATGTATAGCCTGACTTCAAAATTGTACAAAATATATTTACCTATTTGTCCCTTGAAAGGCACGCTGTATGGATATTGGCTTCCAAACATCACAAATCCGTGGTCCCAGATGCACTTGTCTGCCCACATTTGAGCCATATTTGCAAGATTATCGTCCCACACCTATGATCAAAGACTATTTGATAGATTGACTATGAATGAGGAAATAATACAGTAGAGAGGAAAAATCAGGACGTTGGCCGGGGAATGTTTATTTCACTAAAATTATTTTTAGCTTGGGTGGGAAGCATAGCGGTTTCCTAATGCAGTTTCTTATTGCTGAAGTAATTTGATATTAAAGAACCAATCTCACCGCTGTTCGTCAGTACATCAACAAGGCGCACCGAAAGAGGACAGATATTTTCCATTTTCCGTGAGCAAAGGGCCATATGCGAATTGAAAAGCAAAGCATGACATGAACATGTATACAATTAAACAAAATTCGTTTCCGGATCTAGCAAAACCTGACTCATGCCTCGCCGCATGGATACGAAGGTTTGCAATAGAACCGCTACATTTGTACAAAGAAAAACGGCTTCGTAATGTTCGGTTAGTCTGAAAATTTAATTATTCTGTGTTATTCTACAAATAACCGAAGTGAAATCGACTCATTCCGAGGCTTTCTTCTCTGTCTCATTAATGGACCTGGACCTAATGCCATCTACTCGTATCTCCGTCTTAGCCCGAGTCCGATTCCCTCACAGTTAGTGTATGACCATGTGTGAAACAAGCTCCGGCATTTTTCTCCAACCACTAGAGCTTCCTGGACTCGAGACTCGACTCAGTTCGTCTTATTATATGCTTTTTTAAAATGTACATTTACTTTTGATTTTGAATCATATAATCACCTACCCAGATTTGCATTGTCATTGTTGTTTATATTTGAAGTCACGATTACGTTTTAAGTTCGTAGTAATGCTGCCATACACTATACATTTATAAAGAGTGTCATAACATTGGGGTGCAAATCTTTTAAGTGGTACTACTCTCTTGAATTAAGGTCAAACCTTTATATAATAGCCAAGCTAGTCTTGTGGCCCAAGAGAAAGTACTGACATGGAAATAAACACTTACTTCCTGAATTACGCCGTTCCTGTCCACACGAAAACAAGGAAAATAACTGGCTTGCTTGCCAAGTGGAGAGGAGTGTGCCTAGTTAACCTTTTATGGGAAAGTACGAAGGCAGAACGTTTTTTGTCTCAGCGTTTCAACAATCCGGCCCTAAAAGCGCGAAGATTTCCATTTGGCCCTAAAATCTCTATTGACATTTTTTTTTCACTTACCAAAAACTCCATATCGGCCGCAGTTGGTTGCACCATTCCGCGAAATTTGTTATTTTCGTCGAGGAACTTTTCTTTTTCTTCAGTTGTAAGTCTACAAGTTTTAAAATCCTGACTCCTTGGCGACTTCATAGCGAGAGACGTTACACTGTCCTTTGTGCGAAACTGTACAGTGAAGCTAACAACCAAACAAAGGAAATGGCCGAATGCATCTCTTTGCCTACTCCGAGGTAACATAACAAGATTCTGTCTGACTGAAATTATTATGGTCAAAAGACAGTGATTCTTATTTTAGATTTATGCCTTTACACTGGCTCATTAGGTTGTTATTTAGTTGACCTGTTCAAAAATTTGGCTTTAGATAACCCGAAAGGTTACATGTTTACTTCGGGTCAACAGCGCAAGGAGTTTCAAGAGGAACTCGTCAATTTTTACCGCTGTTCCCCAATACTGTCGACCTGTCGAATACTTTTGTGTTCCAAGAATGGTAACCAGAAAAATTGTGCACTATTTGATTTACATGTAACTGGTTATAACTCTTCTTATTTCTCAACGAAATTTAGCATCGTTTTTGTGGTACCCGTTAAAAGGTCACCAAGTACCTTCACGAGACCAAGAAACAATTCTTTTTAATCACATCATGTGACTAAGAGTACCGAGTTCCATGAAAATTTTGCGCAACAGTAAGTTCGCCCAAAATAAAACTCCGCAAAATTTACAGCGAAGTGTCCATGTCAATTTAAATAAAATTGAAAATAATTACAATAATAATAATGATAATAATAATAATAATAATGATGATGGCAATAATGATAACGAAAACAAGGTTCATTCATTGTATAATTAAAAACTATTCTTAAGAAGACTCGAAAGGGTTTTCCGCAATTTACAGCAAGTGTCCTAAATCATAATTTGAAAATGAAAATGGCGAGCTCTTATATTTAGCTGAACTTCTCAGATCAAAAGCCCAAGTTACAGTTCGGAGCCAAATCATCACTTCGCTAGAAATACAGAAGAGATTAAAAACGTATATAAAACCAGTTGCAGTTTGCCTACAATACAATCAGTCAATGTTCTTCTTTACAGCGTCACAATCATAAATGGCTTTGACTTTTTACTCGGAAGAACCACTGTACAGGCGGCTTGGTCCACTAGTACACATATTCTCTTGAGTGTATCAAATTTCTTTCCAAATGGACACTGCACGTGACTTGTGACGCCATACGAACACGCTATGTATGCTTGGCACGTGGTGGGGGCCTGATAATTACCGTTTTCTTTTCCACCACAAAACGAGGCTTCTGAAACTGAAAAACAAATCAGGTGGTTCCCTACTGGTTGATACGCGATTTCAAAAGGTACTTAAAAACAAATCGAGCCTAGAGTGCAGATAGGATAGAGGCGAAAGGTAAAGATGCAAAATCTTTGGATGGCGCCAAACCTTACTGTCGTCTGTCAAGTCTCAAGCGAAACAACTGAACCTTTTTGATTAGAGAACTGTCACTTACATGGAACATCACAGCTTCGTGGACAATGATCCACCATCCATGTCCAATTGGATTTTTTACATTCGTCCATCGCAGACCAGGCGGGACATTCTTTGTGTTTGTCGTAAACTGTGGAGAATGTTATGTTCAAAATTGTGTATATTCTGTCAAGTGTCACGTTTTCATCGAATTTTATCCTATTTATGTTTTTAAAAAACAATTTAAAGTCAAGTAGAGGTCAATTGTGCACACCAGCTAAGAACCCCACCCTGCCGTACTCCAGGAATTAAGTAGCGAGAGGTATTGCTGCAAAACCCCCTTCCCCTGTGAGGGCTCGTGACCCCATCCCCCTCCCCCCCGCCCTTCCTAAGCTTCTTTTTTGTCAAATTAAGCTAAACACGGCGTGGAGGACAGTCTGGTGAGTGTCCTTTGTTCGATACAGTGTGACCCTTCTTTGAAAAATCCTGCCAGGTTTCTCTGATGGAGAGGAGAGAGTCACTGTGGTAGTAAGGAAAAATTTTACAATAAAAAAAATTATGGTATAGAAAGATTTCCACACTACGCAAAGAGACATACGCGTGAAAGAATCGAAACCTTTTACCTCTGCATAAGCCACAACTTCTCCTGCATTTTTCGTTTATCTTATCACCCGAGCTGCATTGGTTCGATAAAGCCCACGATGGACATTTGGGGTCAGAATCTGTGCAATCTGTAAACGTATCAAAACAGCCGGGTGTATTTAATCTTGCAGAAAAATTAAACTACTTAACGAGTAATCAATCTTTAAATATAATTATGAGTTTCAACGAATGGCTCCACTTCTTAAGGGGCTCTGGAATTTAGTGGTGCTGAATTTATTAGAATTTTGCAAAATAAAATTAAGGTGACGCTGCAGTCGGTGTCGCCACTTGTTACCAGGAACTAAATTCATATCCAGTGTAATTTCCGCAATCCTGTCTACTCTTAGCCGGTCATGCTCTACAACCCCGTCTCCTGTAACTTTTTAGTTCCTTTCTCTTCGGGGCAGCTCTCTTAGACCCTCGCCTCTGCCAACTCACCTCCACATTGACTGCAACTTTTTCTGCAGTTTTTAAGCATCCATACTCTGTTGTTTTCACATTCTCCAGCGTAAGCCCACCTTGGGCAGCTTGGGTTTGCATCGGAACAGTCTGTTGAGCAAACTGTTATTTCACTTTTGTGTCACAGTGTCACCATGCTTTCTTCTTAAGCAAAATAACTGGTTTTTTGTCAGTTCTCAACGGTACTATTGATTGTGTCAACGTCTATGCCATCATCATCATTATCATTATTATCATCATTATTACTATTATGGTAATTAGCATCATTGTTACTATTATTTTATAATTATTATTAGTATTGATATTATCACCACTGTCATTATTGTTATTATCATTATTATTGTTAGAATTATCTTCATCATGATAATGATATTTCTATTCCCCTACCCATCGAAGTTCAGGTTTAATGTTTCGTAATTTTATTGATTGTTAAGCTTCCTTAACTTGCTATTAGCTAGATGATGCGCATTCGAGCCTTAATTTTTTTTATCTCACCTTCATATGAGTCAGCCCGTTCTAGGAAATCGCTTAAGGGACATCCGAATGTTTATGATATGATTTAGTTTTACATACGTTCATCTACCTTTTGGTGCCTGATGGTGCTTGCAGCTTACGCAACAATTCGTTATCATCCACAGCGGGTTCTTTTCACACTCGCCAACAGCTGCCCATCTCTGACATCCAGAATTTTGGTCGGTTGTACACACTTCGTAAATATGTGATCAAAATTAAAATTTGTTAAATAGGAATGTATAATAAATTGGTGACAACTATACGCGTGTTTTTGTCAAAAGTTTGAAAATTTTCTGAGCCTCCTGAAATAACGAATTGACGCTAAAAATTTCGCGCCAAAATTAAGGAGCATTTGTAATATTAGGCTGATATTAGAAAAATAATAGGTACAAAATATATTTTTAAAGAGGCTCTGATGATGTCATGAAGCTAAGTTCAATAGGAATGTTTAAAAGAAAACAGTGATGACAATGTATCGAGACCATAAGAAGCACCCTTTTTGTTTGACTTTTATAACTTTGTAACTGTTTATAGAGGCCATCGTTATTTTGAAAGGTTTCAGAATTGGAAATTTAGAATATAGCATCGTCAGTGAAACGAGAAAAGGAAGAAAAACATCAAAAAATGAAAACTGAATTTCTAGAGAGAATTGAAAGCTGTGACATCTATTCTTAATGACAGACCATGGAACGAATTGAGCCGACTCAATCCAAACAAAAAGGACAATTGTGGTCACTGTTTCTTTTTTCTTATTCGGTCGAAGAGGTGCATTGAGGTCAACTACATATTTTTAGAAACGGTTGTGGACCAAATTGTTATAAAACGTGTGCCAGGGAAATTAATTCTGTCTTGACAGTTGTTATGATTGCGTGCAGCCGGCTGTAGCTGATTAGAATAATTGTACACAACCAAATAGTTTAGTGTCTTTTTCCAGACATACCTTGAGGCTTGGACGTGGGTGGAACTGTTACTGAACTTGGAGTGGTAGCAGAAACTGTAAATAAACAACAAGAGAGGGAAATAATCTATCGCATCGCATACATTCACTTTTGTAAGTTTCTTTCCCGCGCTTTTTGTATCTTAAACCCGGTGTTTTGTTCTCCGCCACTTTCGAGAAAATTGAGCATCATACACCTATGGGTCCGCTATCCATGTACTCCACACCAAAATGTTTGCGTGGGGTACACATACCTACTGATCCTGGTTGAGGTGTTGTTGGCAAAGCTGTTACAGAAGCTGCCGTTGCGGTAATTTGATTTTGGCCACCTGCAAGGACTGGATACGAGAACAACAACTTTCGTCAAATAGGAACAAGAGGATTTGTTCAGTAATACAGTAAAATTGTCCGAAACAAACTACACGTAGCCGAGAGTCCTACGAGAAGGTTTTCGCTGTGTAGTAATTGGTCACCTATCTTTGAGCCTTATACACCTTACATTCCCGACACATAGCCGAGAGTCATACGAGAAGGTTTCCACTGTGTAGTAATCGGCTAGCTTTCTTAATGGCTTCTTCAGCGCGCACGGTTCTTACTTAGTAAAATATAAATTCTATTGTAGACTTCTGTTCTTTTTTTAATATTTTTGCCTCTTGCTTTTACACATAGTCTTACATTATTTAATTTAAATCAACAACTTCAGGGGCAAGCCAATGTAGCTTTTGCACATGGCCAACGTATAGTTTGTGCCTTAATTTTAAGCTGCAATTAAAGCGCGAGATATGCAGTACTATTATTTCTTTCAAAGAAGGAAGACGTAAACAGTTTTAAACACAGTTAATTAAAGCTTTGTTAAACAGGTAATAGACACATTTAATGTAGACAATAATTATGTTAATCAAAAATCCCTTAAGGGTATGAGTTAAATTTGTAAATAATTTATTCCATACCCGTTGTGGGGTATCAAGTCAAGTAGCGTAGGGTTTTGACTTGATTAATAATGGCAATAGGACCGAGTGAAGTCCAATTCAGTCGGTAATCATACAAGTGATTAACAAAATCTGTTAATCACGAGTGTGATTACAGACAGATTACAGACAGGCTTGGACGACACGAAGTCCTGTTACCAATTAATCGAAACCATGACAGAATTTGAGAAAGAAACTAGACATCGATTATACGTTTTCACAAAAAAAGAGACAACAGCGCGCACATGACGCTTTCTGTCCACTTACACATGCCTGTGTAAGTGGACAGGGTTTTTTGACCGCACGAGATCCGGGTATGAACATAACGCGAGCTTTAAAAGTGACAACATGCAAAACAAACATGGCGGCTCAATACGATTGCTCAATTGTTACCTGAAAAGGCGTGTTAAAAACAGTTTAACACAATACAGTTTTTATGTGATGGAATCTAAGCTTTCCAGCAGGTGCACCCGTAATATTCATAGGCCTTCTAGGCCTGAAAAAGAGGCTAACCGAAAAGAAAACACCGTGCGAAAGATTACCAAAAGGCGACATATGACGCGACAGATTCGAAAGTTTACGCATGCTCAGACATAGATCTTGGCGAAGTTCTATTCCA